GGGGGGAGAGGATTTAGACTGTCCCTGCTTGTATTCCACACTGTCTTCTTTGCCACATCATGTGACCTTAGCTGAGAAGAGGGCAGCAACGACAAGGTCCTGGACTGGTGCCCTTGGAGTGTTCCTCAGCCTGGGTCAATTGCCTCGTAGTGCTCTGGTGCAGCCGCCTACCTCAGCTGGTTCTCCTTGGCAGTTCCTCCAGGTCTCTCTTTTCTAGGAATTTGCAGCCTTTAGACTAGGCTAAAGATCCCTGACTGAGCAGGTGCAGTAAATGATCGAGAAGGCTGTGTGTGTTGGGGAGGAGGAAGAGGGGCTGGTTCCTTGTGTTGGCTGTCTTATCACTACCTTACTCCTCATTCTCCTTTCCCCTGATTTTTGCATACTCAGCAGATATTAGGTCCCCAGAGGGCTACTATGTGTTCCATGGGGTTCCTTGCCCCTTGTGAATGGGGGAAAAAAAAAAAAAAAAAAAACAAGTCCAAGGAGACAGGACATATGTGGTGGGGCAGCCACCTTATCCAAAGCAGGCTGCCACCTTGGGCACCATCCCCAACTCTGCTGCCACCTCCTGTGATATCCTGGCTGACTTCAGCTCCTCTTCTCCTCATGGAGACACCTACCTCCATCCTTTCCAAGACAGCTGGGAGGAAGGGGAAAACAGCTGAGGGGCCTGAATGAGCATGACAATGGAAAGATACTGCTATAGGGACACTATGTAGGCAAAGCCCTAAGTTCTCTCTTTCTTGCCCAGCCAGTGCTGCAAGACTGAGGCCACTTGCAAGACAGAGCCACGCAGAGTAACAGAGCCATTGGAGAGGGCCCCAAGGCTTGTGGAAGACACTGCAAACACACAATGACAAGTGAATGTCCATCCTGGAAATAGCCTTCATGCCTGTCAACTGGCAACACTGGAAATAGTTTGTCAGGGTCATTGGGCAAAGCCCAGGAGTGGGGTGAAGAGCATCGAGTAGGTCTCAGCCTCTTGGTTCCCAGCGCCGCCTTCTTTGCTGCTGGAAGGCCAGGATGACCTCACTCAGGGGAGTGCCTGACTTCTGGCATCCTTCCTAAAGCACTTCAGGTCACAGCCAGTCCACATAACGTCCCCCATCTATGGAAGGGAAAGAAACCCAGAGCTCTGCGATACCTGCTACAATAGGTCACCTAGCTAGCTAGAAGATAGACACTGAGGTCAGAACGGATAATCTGGGCTCTGTGCTGGCCCATTCCAAGGCAGTAATTGATGCTTCCCAAGAGGGGAGGGAAGAAAACAAAGAGGACAGAACTAACATGTTTTTAGTACCTGTGGGCCACCAGGCAGCTACACAGGCTTATTAACGGTTTTTCAGCTGAAATCCCTCAAAATAGCTCTGCACATGCAGGGTGCAGTATATGGGAACACAAGAATACTAGCCTGTTTCCTTTGGAGGGTCTCAGAAAAACCCACCATTCCCCAGGTGCCCCCCTTCTCCTGACTCACCTTACCTTCCTGTCATTGCTGTTGTTCGTCGAACTTCCACGCCTAGCTTAAAGCGCTATCTCTGTGTTCTGAAGGTGCTCTGTGTCTTTAGGATGATAGTGTCCCCATTCTTTTCGATGATTGTGGTAGGCTTGGTCATGTTGGCCACCTGTCTGGTAGCAAAACCCACCCCTGAGGGCAGGTGAGAAGTTATGAGTATATGGGCTGGAGCAGAGAGCATCATACAAGGAGCTCAGTGAATAACTTAGGTCTGGGTGTGGGGAAGAGGAAGACTAGATTTCAAAGCCTTTGCATGGCAGTTTTTATTTTTTTTGGAGACAGAGTTTCATTTTGTTACCCAGGCTTGAGGGCAGTGGCATAATCACAGCTCACTGTGACCTCAAACTCCTGGGCTCAAGCGATCCTCCTGCCTCAGCCTCCCAAGTGGCTGGGATTACAGGTGCGCACCACAACGCCTGGCTAATTTTTCTATTTTTAGTAGAGACAGGGTCTCACTCTTGCTCAGGCTGGTCTCAAACTCCTAAGCTCAAGTGATCCTCCTGCTTCGGCCTTACACAGTGCTAGGATTACAGGTGTGAGCCACTGCACCTGGCCTGTATGACAGTTTTTAAATTCAGTCTTCCCCTTAGTTCTGTGGGGTGAACAGAGACTATTGATCCCATCAGACAGGTGAGAAACTTAAGGACCAGCAATGCCATAGCAAGTCAGTGGCAGAGCTGGGATTAGAATAAACTACTAAATGCTTTTTATGCGATAAGAACTATATATATGTTATCTCATTCAGTCCTCCTGTCCCTTTGAAGACTGTCTCCACTTTACCATTGCAAAAACTGAGATACAGTTAAAGCCCAGGGTCACAAATCTGAGATTGAAGCCCAAAATTGTTTGACTCCAGAGCTCACTGAACTGCTCAGCCACAGCACCCTCCAACGCTGGAGCACCCACTGCCTTCAACGGCACCTGAGCCCCTGTCAAACGACACTGTGAGGAAAGAAATGTGGGCTTTGCGTTCCAAAGCCATAGAAACAAGAGTTTTCCACCTTTGGAAGTTTTTGCCCTGAATCCTAAGAAGCATTAGTGGTCTTGTCCCCCATATATGGCAACCCAACATTTTCAAAGCCTCTTATCTGTGATCTAGGAGGTAGGTACAAAAGGAATATTTGTCCCATTGTATAGATTTAGGAGAGGCCTAAAGTAGTAGCAACAATGAGTTAAGACTCAAACCCAGGTCTCCTGACTTCCAGCCCTATGGGGACTCTCCTGACCCAAGCATGGCTTCCCTGGGTTCTGGGCTAAGTCCTAAGTTTCCTACAAGTGAGTTTCATCATGACTGCCCTGGCCAACCCCACCCGCCTTTGCGGAGCTATCTTCCAAGGCAACAGTGAGCCAGGAGGCAGCCCAGTGTGGTGAGGTGGTGCGTATAAAGTCTCTGAATGTGCCAGCCTTCATAGTGCTTCTAGGAAGCTAGGTAGTTTGCACATGCTCTACGTGGGTTGTTTTACTTAATGCTTTTAATTGCCCCGAAGGGTAGGTTTTATTATTCCCAGTTTACAAATGAGAAGAGAAGTATCTTGTCTAAAGTCAAACAAGGAGTAAGTTATTGACCTAAATTTGAATCTAGGCTTCAAAACTGTTCACTATTCCCACTAGGCCATTCTGCCCAGCACATACTCAATCCAAGCACCAAGGCCACCGGTTGTGCCTGTGGTTATTAGTACTAGGCTGAGCCTCTGTGAACCCTCGGTCTAGAGCAAGAAGGGCAGGGGCTGCCTCTGCAGCTGTGCAGATACCAGCCCACCCTGCCCGGCCAGTGAGTGACTTGGCCCTACCCCCTGGTATCAGTGAGGCCAATCACACTCACTAGCACAGAGCAGGGCCTTGTCACTGCACCCCAGAGCTCTATTTGCTTAGGACCTACCTAGAGGTGTGGAGTGTTTGGGGAAGGAAACCACTGTGGGCTGAGTGAGGGACTGAGCCAAGAAAACCTAAAAAGGCCGAACGTGGTGGCTCACGCCTGGAATCCTAGCACTCTGGGAGGCTGAGGTGGGCGGATTGTTTGAGCTCAGTTGTTCGAGACCAGCCTAAGCAAGAGCAAGACCCCATCTCTACTAAAAATAGAAAGAAATTAATTGGCCAACTAAAAATATATAGAAAAAATTAGCTGGGCATGGTGGCACATTCCTGTAGTCCCAGCTTCTCGGGAGGCTGAAACAGGAGGATTGCTTGAGCCCAGGAGTTTGAGGTTGCTGTGAGCTAGGCTGACGCCATGGCACTCTAGCCCAGACAACGGAGTGAGACTCTGTCTCAAAAAAAAAAAGAAACCTAAAAAAGACTGGGCTAACAGAATTTAGGAGACTCAGGAAGAGCTAGGTCCTACTTAGAAATGTTAGAAACGAAAGCTGAGGACGGTCTTTTCTCTCCAGTGGGCCTCAGACTTTCTGTCGGTACGAGAAAAGCAGGCTGGATGGAATCTTAGCCACCTGACGTAAGCTGCCCAAAGACAACAGGTCTTTAGGCAGACCAGCCCCTTAGCCCAAGTTGGGGAAAAATAAGGGAACAAGGGTGGTAAGGTTTTTGCAGCTTAGTCAGAGATGTGGCTCTTTGGCCCAAATGTCTGCTTTGGAAAGAACTAAACCTGGGCATTCTAACTTCCGCAATGGCTGCTGGGGGTAGGGGTGGGGGCTGCTTCTCTAAGAATGGCTGCCTACCTGGAGTCACTGGGTATAGTGCCCAGGGTAGGGTAGACGCAGTTGAGAGTTTGGGCCTCAAGAGCCACACTTGTGGCCCCTGTTTCAGGCAAGGGTTAGGTGCAGAGGTGAGAGGTACGTAGAGTGGACTTCTCCACCCCTTTGCATATCTGCCACAATCTAGCCCTCCTTTCTTGGGAGGAAGGCATGTACTCTAGTTCAACCATGAACACTATTCCATTTTTTCCTGTCCCAGCCTGGGAGACTAGGATAATCTCATAGCTGGGAATTTCAGAGAATGAGTATCTTCTCCATCTAAGCCCAAACCAGAAGGGGAAGGGCTGAGGTCAGTCATTAGCTAAGCAGTTCACTCCTACGGCCTACAGGGTAGTGGAAGAGCTTTGAGTTACAGATCTAGGAATCATAGGTTTTCACAACAGCTCTACTGTGGAATTGATAAGACAAGTTTCTATTCTCCTGGTTCAATTTCCCTATCTGTCAAACTAGGCAAGGTATGGCTATCTCCAAGGTCCTCACCTGTAAGATTCTTAGAATCTTTGTTCTTCCCGATCCCAGCACGACAATAGCCATCCTCACCCTCCTAGAGCGGTGACCTTCCCTGCCTTTAATAGCTTTTGACCTTGCTCGGGGACCCCCTACTACACCCCAGAAGTCCAACGGTTTTCTGCACCCTACCCCTTGCATAGGTGGCTGAGCCATGGGCTGTTGGAAAGGCCCAGTTGATGATGGGCCTCTTGCCCCACCCTACCACTAGGCTCACTGACAGTGATTAGGCATGGTCACATACCTCTGCAGGGCAAGGTAAGACTGGGTGGCAGGAGAGGGCGTCCTCCAGCAGCAGTCCTTCTCAGGGGCAGGGGTTGTTGTTAACTGCAGGTCCCTGTCTCACCTCCTCCCCATATCAAATTTACTGATTAACCATTTTTACCTCACTCCTGTGGGGTATTCCTATTTCTTTAGGCCATAGTACACTCCCTCTCCACCCCATTTTCTTGCTGGGTTGTCTTCAATTTCTAAACCACCCATGCCCCTGCTATTTTTCTCCCTGGCTAGCCTATGATCAATGCTTTCCTTTTATCCAAACCCCCCTCCTACCTCCAGATCATATACCCTTCTTCCTTGAAAGCGTCTCCCATATGGAGAGGCACAGCTGGCTTCTTCTTGTGCCTCCCTACCTTAGTATCCCTCTTGCCAGGTTCAGACCGCAAAGCCCCCTCCCAGCAGGCGTGCAGGGCTCTGATCCGGAAGGAGCAAGGAGCGCTGCTCCCGCTAAGCCCGTGGCCATCCCCTTCCCAGCCCAGCATCCCGAGCCCCGCGCTTGCTCACCGATTGACTTCATGTAGTCATCGAAATTCTTGCTGTCCACTAGTTTCCAGGTGCCCAGGAAGGCGTCCACCATGGTGATGCTGGGCTAGGCTGA